TTTTTTTACCGACTTGCATTTTAGAGGCAGGGTTTCTGCTCTAATGAATTTATGAAATTTTGTACTTAAAGGTTTGAGCACTTAACCCTTCACATGCTAACAACAGCATGAATATTCTCTATACTGTTCTCAATATATTTAACGAGGTGTTGACCAGGAGAATTTGCTAAACAATCAAGAGCTTCATTAGTTAATAATTCCCTCGTTCTTGTGACCTTATGTTTAATTTGGGGTTGATATTGTAAGAAGAAATTAGATACTAGACATTGTAAGGGGTCAAAGGGTCAATAACTAATGACCCAGCATTTTGCTTATGTTGACACAATACATGTGTTTTATTAATGGTTTGTCTTAAATAAAAGGTACAAGAATTTGCAGCTTGATAGTTTTAAGAGTAAGATGAAGTATACACAGATAAATGAAATTTGTATCTTAAAGGAGTAATTCTGTATACTGATAGGATAATTTCATAAATGAATCAGACATCATTGTTAGTCAAATAATAAAAAAGCTTTCAGCTGTTATGTTTGGGTAAAACCATACTTCTATTTATTTACTCCAATGTATTACAGTCTACAAGATACGAAGATTAAATTTTAAAATATCTGCTTGTATTAAAAACATGTTTCTCTCAGAACTTTGTTTCAGATTACATTCATTGTTGTCATTCTTTTGATGTATGAAGTTTCTTGACAAGGTCTAACAAAACATTAGCAAGTCCCACTGTTAATTAACTGTCGAGCTAGATAGTGTTCAAGTTCAATAGCTTTTGCAAATTCGAGTCCTTTGCAAAGCCTTCTCGATCATAGCGCTGCACGCAAACTGTGGTTACTACCCTTTGTTGTTTTGTTGAATAAACCATTTGAAGCGGCGTAGTTTGTGAAACAACAACAATTGACTTGCCGCCATAACTTTGAAGCACGCGACCATCCTCGGGGATTTTCTCGAAGTGCCGCTTCATGAAAAAATTCTCTCCTTTAAATCTCGCGGGAGACCAAATTTTTCTGCAGCGTCGAGCCTTTGGAAGTTAGCGTTATTCTCTCACCATTCTTGGTTGTAGCCGTCGCTTTGTACTAAAACCCAGATATGTTTAAAGATTTGAAATGGCATAAAGAGAGTGATGGGCGCCATAAGACCGGTCATTCTAGAGCGAGCGAGCTTCGCATTAATAGAGAGCCGATCTCCTTAAGGAAGCCATCCACCTGGGGACCTATAAGCTCCAGCTTGTTGCCTGTGAGTTCTTCCAACACGGGATCAAGGTCTCTCATCCCATAATTAGGTTTATTTTCTGCGAAACGAACTCTCCTCAACCATTCTTTCTCCGTTGAGAACTTCATCTCTACGGAGTTGGTATTCCAAAACCGGTCTCCTCTCTCTGTTTCATCCTCCATGCCGAAGAGCCTTAAACAGAGTTTGTTTGATGTACTCGCTCTGTCATTATTAGCCACCATTTTTGAATAAGCATTTACTTTTCGTGC